GATCCATCCTATGATTACCAGGTCTCAAGTTGGCACTCGAAAGCCTCGGGTTCTGCCATCCTTGCTTGCTACCGAAACTGACATCAGGGAGCCAAAAACCTTTAAAGAAGCCTGTCAATTCTCCGAATGGCATTCTGCAATGGTGGATGAGTTCTCGGCTTTGCTAAAGAATAATACTTGGTCTCTTGTGCCTCATCCTTCAACTGTCAATGTGGTTGGCTCCAAGTGGGTTTATCGTATAAAACAGAAGGCTAATGGTTCTATTGAGCGCTTCAAAGCTCGCCTCGTTGCTCAAGGGTTTACACAACAACAAGGTATTGATTATGATGATACTTTCAGTCATATGGTCAAGCCTGTTACCATTCGAACTGTTTTGGCATTAACTGTGATGTATTCTTGGCCTATTCATCAACTTGATGTGAAGAATGCCTTTCTTCATGGGCGGCTTTCTGAGGTTGTATATATGTCTCAGCCTCCTGGGTTTATTGATCCAAAATATCCTGATTATGTTTGTCGGTTGAATTGTGCTCTTTATGGCTTGAAGCAGGCGCCTCGTGCTTGGTTTCAAAGATTTGCATCTTTTCTGTTTACTCGAGGTTTTTCTCAAGCTCGCTCTGACAGTTCTATGTTTCTTTATCATTCTAATGGTGCTATGGCTATTCTTTTACTTTATGTGGATGATATTGTGCTCACGGCTTCCACTAAATTGCTGCTTCATGCCATTATTTCTTTGCTAAAAAGTGAGTTCTTGATGACTGATTTGGGGCAGCTTAATTATTTTTTGGGTATCAGTGTTAGTTTCAATTCCGATGGATTATTTCTTTCTCAGTCTAAGTATACTCATGAGCTCCTTGAAAGAAGTGGCATGCTTGATTGTAAGCTAGTGGTAACACCTATGGCACCCAAGGCAAAATTGTTTTCTATTGATAGTCCAGCTTACTCTGATCCGGCATTCTATCGCAGTATTGTGGGTGCTCTACAGTATCTAAACCTTTACACGCCCAAATATTGCTTTTGCTGTTGGCCAGGTTTGTTGGTATATGCATGCTCCTACTCACAATCACTTCATTGCTGTCAAATGGATATTACGATATTTGAAAGGTACTTTGAATTATGGTCTTCAATTATTTTGTAATTCCTTTCTTTCTCTACATATGTTTACAGATGTTGATTGGGTTGGGTGTGTTGCTACTAGAAGATCTATTTCTGGTTATTGTTTGTTTCTTGGTAATTCTTTGATTTCTTGGTCTTCCAAGAAGCAAAACACTGTCACTCGATCAAGTGCTGAAGCTGAATATCGTGCTATAGCCAATGCTGTTGCTAAGGTTCTTTGGGTTCGTCAACTGCTTTCTGAGCTACATGTTTTCCTTCATTCTCCTCTTATGGTTTATTGTGATAATATCAGTGCCATTTATCTGTCTCTCAATCTAGTTCAACATCAACAAACGAAGCATATTGAGATTGATATTCACTTTGTTAGAGAGCGTGTTGCTTCTGGTATTATTTGCATTCAATATGTTCCTTCTTCTGCCCAACGTGCTGATGTCCTCACCAAGGCTCTATCTTCTGCTCTTTTCTGATCTCAAAGGTCCAATTTGAGCGTTCTTTGCTCTCCCGCTCAAATTGCGGGGGGATGATAATGTATATCATAATACACATGTACATAGTATAGGGTTAGAAATGTAAATATACTTCTATACATCTTGTATATATACCCTGATTATAACCTAATAAAAATTGATTCAGCCTCAATATTCTTTAGTTGAATTGAATGAATACTTTATCATCCGTTTATGTTTTTTTTTTTTTCCATTTCTGTAGTTAGGTATGAGGGACAAGATTTAAGTTTGAATTTGTTGCTTTTATTAATTTAAATTTTGCATCTTTTGAAATTTTGTGACATTGGAGCTTGCAGATTATGATTTGGTGCCCATGGCTGCTCGGGGAGGGGGTCGGGTTTAGGGAGAAAGGGAAAGAAGATTGAGGAAAAGGGGAATGGGAGGCAGATGAAGGGTACTTTTGTCTTTCAATTAAGTTTTATTAATTTAACTTGAATAAAATTAATAAAAGAAAAAAGGGTGATTGGTTAATGTTGAAATATATACAGTATATATATAACTTTTTTATCTTGTGTCCTTAAATATACTTTTGTTGTAATTAATTTTTATTAAAAATATAAATATTGATTTTGTTTTAATTAATTAATTAAT